AAAAAAAAAAATCAGTCCAGGATATAGGGAGAGAGAGATTCCGAAGCAAAACTGGCAGGTGAAGTCCCAGCTTTTGGTGGTCCAATATACATGGGTTTTCTCCTCTCAGGGCCCCCTAATGCTGCAGTCTGTGAGGACCACCATAAGCTTGGGCAGAGGTATCTATATGAGGGTACATTTTAGTAGGGCCTGGGGCACTGAACCACTCTGAGCCAGGCAAATCCCCGCAGAATGGGTTCCAAAGAAGAGAGCAGAAGCGGATGGTTTGGAAGGGATTTCATGATTTTTCTAAACATGCTTTTCTCCCCTATTTCCCCCTAAAAAGGACACATCTCCGTTTTGTCAATTTCCTGATTTTGCCAAGTTCCCATTGCCCAACCGCTTATCTCAATATTGCTCACTTTTCATCCTGACCCTAAATCCAAGGCGGCCTGCATCGCACTCCCATCCCAGCCAGCCAGTGCCAGACCAGACCTGGCATTTACATATCTCCCTCCAAATCCCATTTTGCATACACATCCCTTTTTCCAGAAGGCAAACATGAGCCAGACAGAGCGGCAACAGTGGAGAAACAAGAGAGGCTGGCGGCAGCCCTTGGGAAGGAACCACCCGAATTTGGGCCCGAGATAGTTAATTCCAAAGGATTACCATAATTGGGAGGCGCCCCTTGCTTTTCCTCCTCCTGCAGCTCCAAGATCCCGCACTGTCTCCCCATCTTGGTGTGTGTGGGGGCGGCCTCCAGAGCCCTAGTCCTTCTGGGCCACCCGGGGTGGGAAGGGTGGGGCTGCGGAGGCGGGAAGGGGCGGAGAAGCAAGGTTCACCTGCGGGAGAGGAAGGGAGAGGGAACAAGAGGGGGGAGAGAGCGAGGAAGGAGCCCCTCGGAGTGTGATTTAAGCAGGATGCTGCACAAAATGGCTCCTCAGCGAGGCTCACGGTAACACAGCGGCGCCGGAGGCCCGACTGGCAAGCTGAGGGCGGGTGGGGGCTCTGGGAGAAAAATACTAAAAGCCCGATTTGGATTGAATTCAAATGTGGGAGGCCCTGTCATCAGGGCCACATCTCTGCTGCCCTTTTTGGGAAACTGAGTCCCTTCGTGGGGAGCAGGTGAGGCTGGCTGGGGGCTTCTGTGCTCTGCTTGAGTGTGACTGTCTTGGAATCCCTCCACCTCCACCTCCAGCACCTGGCCATCATAGCACCACTCCCAGGAAGGAAGCCACGGTGACATCTGGTGAGTAGGCTGCAGAGAGGGTCCTGCCCTGGTGGGTCAGGACTGGCTGAATCTCTGTGGCCTGGTGTCTGGCCTCCACGGCCTAGCATAGTTTAGACAGGGGCCAGGAAATGATCCAGGATGATGCTGGGTGGAGGCACATCTCATCTGGCACCATCAGATGAGGGTGGCAGGATCTAGGGCAGGCCCATTCCAAACTGGAGCGGGGAGAACCCCATCAGCCCTAGCCCCATCACCCTCTCATCTGCATGTTCTATGCACTTGGTCTCACACCAAGCCCCTGGCCTGGGCCCACAGGCTGCAATACAAGCCCTGTGATCATGGGGAAGCAGGCACTGGGTCTGCCTGAGTGTGGGTACTGATAGCAAAGCGCCTGTGGTAGTGGCCAGGCCCTGGCCACGGTGCTGAGAGCTGCCTATCAGACCTCTCTCTCCACAGCTTCATTTGCCCCAAACTTCCTGGTCTCTCCCTGAACCTGAGCTCCAGGGATATCAGCAGCTACCAGGAGAAAGTAACAGCAGCCCGAGAGAGCGCCCCAGTGGCAGGTGTCTCCTCAAGAGGAGGCTTCTTTCCTAGGTGTGTCTACCAAAGGCCAGAGACTCCATTTTTCATATTCAAACCTCCATCAAAGGCCAGAGAGGATCCTGGCCCCCACCCCCATCCCCGTGTCTATAGAAATGCCCATTCTTGCTGCAGCCACATGTGTGCCCTGTACGCCTTCAGATTCATACAACTGCAACGTCTCCCCTCCCCCCCCCACACACTTGGCCCGTATACCCATCTAGCAGTCGCCTAAGGCAGGTGGCAGATACCTTGCCCGTGCACACACATGTATATACAAGCACTCTTGTACCCATTTGGTAACCTCAGCTGCTTGGGCTCCAAGCTGGCTTTGGCCCAAGTTCCTGTTGCGTGATGGTGGTTACACAGGGGCCGTGATGACCCACAGGAGTGTGTCTCCCCTTGCCCCAATTCAGGACACAGTGAATTAAGGGATTAAATGGAAGGAGAGTAGACAGTTCTGACTCTAGCCAACAGCCCTGTTCAAGCACCCAATATCCTGTGACCAGACTTGCCCTGATCAGGCTGGGAGCCTGAGATCCATGGAGCCCCCCAAGCTCCAGTAGAGACCTGACACTTGCCAGGAACTAGCACTCCTTTCTGGAGCCCCTATGGGCCTTAATTAGGAGACAGTATCACCAGTCACAACCTAGGCTAGGTCCAGGATGCCCTTTCCCCCCACTGCTTCCTCCCTCCCTTATTCCTCCCTCCCTTGTTCCTTCCTCAGGCCCAAGCTCTGATTAAGCTGGGTCTTCCTATTGTGTGGATTCTTGAAGTCCAGCACTGAACTAAGGCATATGGACCCAGCTTCCTGCACTCAGGGTCCCCAGGGATTCCACACCCACCTTCAAATTGACATGGTCACCTGGGCTATAGTGCCCTCTCTGGCTTCCACATCTGGCCTCATTTTTATCAGAAGCTGAGGCTCAGGCATCCAGGGTGTGGGCTCTGGGGAGGCCCAGGCTGGGCACAAACCCAGCAACACCCCACCTGAAAAGGCCTGGGCAGAACAGCACCTCTCCCCTGGGGTCTGCAGCAGCTGGCATTGCTAATGGAGGTTCCTGCCATTGAACCTCTCATGACACCCCCTCCCCAATGCTCACCTAGCCTACCCTCTGGTCTCTGTCCCTTGATTTAAAGCCAGACCCTCAAACTCTATCCTTTCCCTTTCTACAGCCAAGAACCCACCTCCATCCAGGATATGGCAGGCTCCAAAAAGGGCTCTCTTTCAGCCCCAGCACCTGAATTTCTCCCCAGTCACAAGGACTCAAACCATGTATTTCTGAATGCACGCACTACTCCCATGATCTGACCCCACAGTCTCTCCCAGCTTCTGCTACCTCCCTGCTTTGCTGGGAGGCCAGGCTAGATCCCCCTCCCCCCAAATGTCTTCTCCCAGAGAAGCCCCTCACCACAGCTTCAATCCCCACTGCTGTCCTCATTCTTCCCAAGCTCCTCAGAGCCTGGGTTGGAAGAGGCTGCAGAGACACCCTCAAACAGATCCAAGAGGCCTGTTCTCGGGCACAGGGTGGGGAGTGCGGGGGGGGGGGGGGGGGCCGCGGGCGGGGGTTGGGCGGGGTGAGGAGCAGAGCAGAAAGGCTTTCCTAACAACTTCCCATTACAGAGGGGGAAAGCGTGCCATAAATCTTGTCCAGAGTGGGTGCTGTGTGTTGCATTATTTCTTAAAATATTTTTTTTTTCAGGAAGCCACTTTCTGGGTTATTATTTTTTGCGAGGGAGGGGATGAGACGAAAGAAGGGGGGTCAGGAGCAAAGGTGAGGAAGGGGGCGGTCCGGAGACTCCCGGGAGCCTCACTTGGGAAACATTCTCTCCTTTCTGGTGAACCTGTCTGCAGTCCCACAACTTCCATCCGGCCCCGCGCCCCTCCCCTTTCTGCACACCCAGAGTCTTAACCTCGGGGCGCTTCCCCCTGCCCCACGACCCTTGACCTTGGCCTTGACGATTTGCAGGGGATGTTGGGTCAGGCCCCCGAGGCTGAGCCCCGCCTTCCACCCGCAGTCAGAGAGCACCCCTCACCCCGCCGGGCAGCGACGCGAAGCCCCGCGCCGCTGGTGCTGCCCAAGGGGGCCCGAGCAGGGATGCCCCAGCCCCCTCTCCCAGTCCAGACCAGCTCCCTGACGCCGCCCTAGCCGAGGCTACCGCCCTCGCGCCCTAGCCCCCGCTCCCCAGCCTCGCTGAGACACAGCAGGCAGCGGCACTTACGGACCGGGAAGGGGGCCGGGGGCCCGCGAGGCAGCGGCGGGGGTGGGGCGGCTGCGGGGATAGCGGCTCCGCGGCCCCTGATGAGGCGCGGTCGCGGGCCCAGGCCCGGCTCCGGCCGCTCTCCAGGCGCCCCTGCCTCGGCGGGCGCACGGCCGAGAGCCGCGGGAGGCGGGCACGGTAGCGGCGGTGCGGGGGCTCCTGGCGGCGCGCGGCTTCTCGGGGCTCTGAGCGGCTCCCAGCGCCGCCTTCTCGGGCGGGCACGGCCCGCAGTGACGTCAGCGCGGCTCCCCCCGCCCCCCTCCCCTCACCCCGACCAGTGCGGAATGGAGGGGGCGGAGGCAAGCTGTGAGGGGCGCCCAGCCTCGCGCCCCGGCGCTTCCTTCCCCCCGCCCCGCTTGCCTCCCAGCTTTGCCCGGGGAGTCGCGGCGCCATTCAAACCTTCGGTCCTCCCCCCCACCCCCCGCACCGCCCCCGCGCGCTGCCAGGCTCGTCCAGAGCCACCGACAACCTGGGAGGTGGTGGCGAGCAGCGGGTTGGAAGCCTCGCAGGCAGCTCTAAGCTGAGGCATCCAGGCTGCTTTGGGGAGAATGGAGAGCTGAGGAGACGGGGGCGTCTACTCTCTGGGCCGAAAGGGGGCTTTTTACTCTAAGCAAGTGTTGGTACGCTGAGGGTATCTTCGCTGGGTTGATCGGTCCGGGGGGGCCTCATGTAAGCTCGGAAGGAATATTTTGGCTTGCGGAAAGGTGTCCCTTTCGGGGCCGAGGGTTCCCTCCAGGCTTGATGCTGCTTTTCCAAGACCCAGTGCTGCTTTTCCCCTCCCCCACCCGCCCTGGACTGTGCACCTGAAAACTCCAAGCACAGGGCTGACAGCGCCCCGGAGCCGCTGTCCAAATGCTGAACTCGGCCTCCTGAGAAGCGGGCTCCCGACACCCAGCTCCCCACTGCTCTCGGTTGCCCGCAGGGGAGGGCGGGGGGTTGTGGGACTCACCGCGCGAAGCTCCGGGAAACTTTGGTGTTCCAGGACGGTATAGGAAAGCTCCAGCGGAGGAGGCGAGCGGTCAAGGGGAGGCGGGAGCCGAGAGGGCAGGCAGAGCAGCTCGCCTTTTCGGTCGCCCTGCCACGCCAAACTACAGTCTTCCCCGCTCGTCCCGACCGCTCGCCCCGGGTCCCTTCCGCCTGCGTGTTTCTCCCGCCGCCACAGCAGGGGAGGTCCCTCCGGCTGAACTTGTCAGCGGGTCTCACCATCCATCACGAGCCAGACAGACAGGCCAAGTTCACGAGCAACGCTGTTAACCCCTTGCAAACCAAGCGCCTCCCGCAGGAGAGAGCCGCCTGGCTGGGGCGCGCTCTCTCTGATTCCAGAGGCACCACTTCTCACAAGCAGTGGCCGCTAAGGCTTTTTTCTTCTTCCCTACTTCTATCTTTTCTGAACAACTTGAGGAAAGGGCTAGAAGAGGGAAAGCGGATTTGTTCCCCCCTCCCACCTCAATGCATTTCCTGACAGTTTTTCCTGTCATTTTACTCTTTTGGTCTCCATAACCTCTACAGAGTCTCCTCTTGTAAATTTGTTGGATATCAGTGTAACTCACTACTTTTCTAAATGTCTTCCCCTTCTCCCATTTTGTGACTGTGCTCATTGTGGCAAAATGGGAAAGTTCAGAAAAACATAAGAGATAATAATAATTGGCCTTAATTGCTATGCCTAGAGGCCTGACTTTAAAAGAAAAAAAAAAAAGGAATATTCTCACCAAAAGAATCTAGATTGCTGCTTGTATGGGATGGGGCGAGCCAAGGGGCAGGGGTACCCAGCCTTTCTAAACTGGATGGGGAAGGAAAAACAAAAACAAATTCTGAGAAAGGGATCAGAAAGGGAAACCTGTCCAGAAAGAAACTGCTAGAAGAGGCTTGGAGAGACTCAGGGGTAGACCCAAAGAGAGTGCATTTTCAGTCTCTGCTGTGGAACCAGGACAAAGCCCACACACTTCCTTCACCCCCTATTGACCCCTATTCTAGCCTCCAAAGCCCAGAGAAGCTTCTCTCAGGCTTCCTGGGCAGCCCAGCTCCTGAGCCTGGCCCCCGAATGGAAGGCTGTGGGGGTTGGGGAGGCTGGGGAACCCCAGTCATCTCTGGGAGAACTTTCTCAGCCTCTCCCTGTGGTCAGGCAGACTTGGGCCACTTCCCCCTCCCCCCATATCCTATTGAATTCTTGGCGTCTGGTAGCTGGCGGCAACTAGGGCGACCTACCAACTTTTCCCCTGGGCATTTTCTCACCCCCTCCACCCCCCAGTGCTTTCTTTTCTTCTCCCTTCGCTCTCTTTGAAAGGAGGCACCCAGGCCCAGAACGTGTTCTGCAGTTTAACTACTTCCAAATTCTTTGTTCGGGTCACCCCGGGACTCCATTGTCCGCTATTGAGAGCAGGAGCGGGCGGGCGGGTGCGCCTCTGCCCGGCAGGCCTGAATCCATTAGGCCGCTGCTCTGGCCCCAGCGGCCCATTGAGGCGCCCGCCAAACCGGGCGCCGGCGGCCCCCCTCCCATCCTCTCCACTCCCGCCCTCAGCTGCCTTTTTTGGATGCCGCAGCAGAGTCACGGGATGCTGCTCCATGGTGAGAGGGTTATCTGGGTCTCACCCTGTCTGGAGGGACTGGACCACAAGTGCAGGCCTAGTATGATTTTGGCTGACTCTGTCCCGCCTGTACACCCTCGCTAGGGTCCTGCCCAAGTTGGGTCGTTTGCCCCCTTGGCACTTGGATCTGCCAAGCAGCTTTTCAGGAGGCAGTAGCCCTGACCTCAGGAATGGAGGTTGAGGGAAAGGTCGGTGACACACCTCCCTGGACTTCTCCAGCCTCCCAGCTGTACTCCTACAGCCTGGATTTCCCCTTCCACTTTCCTCCGGGCCCAGACCCCAGCTCCCAGTTGGTGCAAGCCTGCCCTGAGTTAAGAGAGTGAAAGGAAGCAGTCCAGGTTCAGGGGGCAGGCATAAGTGCCAGCCCCCTGTGGCCTCACAGGCCAGTTTCCCCAGCATGGCTACTCTTCCTCAGTTTACCGGGAAAAGGACAAATGGATCCCAGGGTGTGCCAGGGCTGGAACCAGGCTGTCTGTCTCCAATATCCCACCGACCCTCTCCAGCCTCAGGACCCACGGAGACAGTGACAGCGTGAGTTCCCCCAGCAAGCGCAGCGCAGACTTGCGCACCTGTGTCCCGCGGCCCGCCTCAGCAAGTGTCCCCCAGCTCCTGTATGGAGGTGTATGCTCTCTGAGCCCGCGAAAGGCCTAGAAGAGACTGAGCATTCAGCCTGAACCCAAGATCGAGATTCAGAGGGGCCAGCATGCACAGGAGTGCCCAGGAAAGGGTCGGCTGCTGTTAATGTATCTCTTTTTGGTGCCTGAAGGTTCTTTCGCGCCGCCCCCATTCTGTCCCTCCTACTCCGGGGTTATGGGGTCTCTGAGTCAGGGCGAACATAGACGCCCAGCCCTAGAGGTCACTCAGGCCTGGGTCAAGCCCGCCCTGTCCAGTTCGAGAATTGGCCATGCCGTTCCTAGGAGTTAAACTGGAGGGGAGATTCGCGGAGAAGCCCAGGGCCGGGGCCAGGGTTTGAGGGCGGTGCCCCTCACCAGGAAAAGGCCGCGGATAAGCGCGCGGGGCGCACAGGAAGAACGCTGGCCAGGGAAGGGAGGGCGGCCACCGCTGCATCGTTCCCGCGCCCGAGTGCCCACGACTTGGATCCACAGGCCAGGACCGCAGGGAACTGGGGGTGGGGAGACTTCGTGGACCTGGCGGCGGCCTAGATGCGTAGCGGGGGATGTGAGACTAGCGCCCCCTGACGTCTCTGCTGTAGCTCGTGCAATGCCGCCCAGCCATCCCCTTCCCACGGGGTTTCAGATCTAAAGCTGGGAAGGTTGAGGCCCGCGCACCCCCAAGACCCGGCCGGACTACGCTAGGGCTCTTGCAGGATGCAGGAATCCCTTAAAGTCTCCCAGGCTGCCACCCCCATGCCCTCCTTCTGTCATCCTCCCCATCCGTCTCGGGTCCTCCCGTCTGCAGTCCTGACCTCGCGGCTCTCTGGCCCCAGAGCGCCGCTCTGCGCGCTGTCCAACAGCGCCCTCTGCCGGCAGTTCCTGGGAGATGCAGACGCACCCGACTCAGGCGGCCGAGGCCAGCCGGCCGAACGGACTCGCTCCCTGCCCCGGTGAGCTCTGTCCTGGCGCTTACCTGAAGCCTTGGGGTCTGGATAGCGGGGACAGGGTAACAATAGCCGTCTGGGAAGACCTTTCCCCCCCTTGGTTCTTCTCTGCTTCTCAAACTCCACGCAAAGCACCCTCTCCCGTACTCAGGGCCCTCCCACCTATCAGCAAACAGGCCCTCCTGGTAGTGAGGGGGACAGCCAGACGTCAGGCCTACAGCTCACCTCCTCTTCTATCTGAGGCTGGAGACTCTGCTATTCTGACCCCCTTCTGGAAGGTCCCATGGAGACTGAGGTGGATGGGGCAGGCTCCCGACCTCCCCAGGGTTCTTGCAGCCAGGCAAGCTGTGCCCCTTGTCCTATTTCCAGCCTCACCTTCCCCATCTGTGGCTTTCCTTTCATATTTTCAGGATCTACGAAAATTAAGTAACAAAAGCCCCTTCTCATCACGCCTGAGGATCTCATCTTCCAAGGGCGAGTGAGAAATGAGTAAGAGGAAATGACAGGACATGCAGGCAGGGCCGGGGTTCGGGAGCCTTGAGATTTCCCCCAGGCTCTCACCTCCCTCAGCAGGACATCTCTGCCAGCCCAAGCATGACATTCTGGTCATAAGTTTTGACAGATTCTCGATATTCATTCATTCATTCATTCAACAAATACACACTGAGCTCCTACCATATGCCAGGCACTTCTGAAGGCGAAACTCAGAGAAGGTAAGTAACTTGCTCAAAGCCACACAGCTAGAAACTTCTAGAGCCAGGGTTTCAGCCTCAGATGTGTGCCACCTTACCCCCATCTCTCCTCTCTCATCTGAACGATTTCAGAAGTATCCTAACTGGGGCTTCACCTTAGAACTCAGTATGTCATTGATACCCCTGGGCACGGACCCTTCTGAAATATCAGTCTGAGGGCACCTGGATAGCTCAGTCGGTTGGGCATCTGACTTCAACTCAGTTCATGATCTCAGAGTTCGTGAGTTCAAGCCCCACATCGGGCTCTGTGCTCAGAGCCTGGAGCCTGCTTCGAATTCTGTGTCTTCCTCTCTCTCTGCCCCTTTCCCGCTCATGCTCTGTCTCTGCCAAAAATAAATAAACACTAAAAAAATAAAAACAAGGGGTGCCTGAGTGGCTCAGTCGGTTGAGCATCCGACTTTGGCTCAGGCCATGATCTCACGGTTCGTGGGTTCGAGCCCCGCATCGGGTTCTGTGCTGCCAGCTCAGAGCCTGGAGCCTGTTCGGATTCTGTGTCTCCCTCTCTCTCTGCCCCTCCCTCACGCGCGCTGTCTCTCTCTGTCTCAAAAGTAAATAAACATTAAAAAAAAATTTTTTTGATACACATAAATAAAATGTCAGTCTGCTGATGTCTCCTCGGTGCTGGCCCACCCAGGCCGATCTCCGGCCCAGCTTGAGCCCACCAGGGTCTCTCCCGGGCACCAAAGTGAGGCTCAGAGTGGGAGGGTGCACGGTGGGCCTGATGGGGGGGGGGGTGCTGTGGTCAGCCCACGTGATGAAGGAGCGGAGAAGCTGAGACAATGGAGCAGATGGGTAGGGAGGCTGGCAGAGAAAAGGCCATCAGGCTCCAGAGAGTGCCTGAGACTTTCTCAGACAGCTGCTGCTCCTTCAGTGGCAGGAAAGTGTTGCAGTAAGTAAGCCCCTTTCCTTTGGCCTGCTTTGAGTAGCATTCTGTTTTCTGCCACCTCCGGTTCCCTGACCCCACCCCCCTCCTTCCAAGCTTAGCTTTCCTCCCCCCGTGTGACCTCCCGTCCTGGCAGCACCTGGCCTATGTCAAGGGGCCGCGGGGGCACCTCCCCTGGAATCCTCCCTCCCGAGGAACTGACCTGAAGGAAGTGTTTCTGTTGAGCCAGCAGCAGGGGCGCCACCGTGTGGCCATTATGACAAGCACAGTTTACAGTCCCTTCCCTGCCAGCTCAGAAGGATGTGTTTATTGATTGACGTTAAAATATTTTAGGATTTGTATCTTCCAAATTTGCTCCCAGAGTGAGGATTTGCCAGCAGTTAATGCTCACTAGGTGGGTACGTTATATGATACGCTATTTATTCGCAACACTTTGTTTTTAATCTTCACCACTGCCTTATGCCGCAGATGCTCTTACTCTCATTCAACAGATGGGGAAACCAAGGCACAGAGAGGTTAAGTAATTTGCCCAAAGTCACAGCTAATCAGTGGCTAAACCAAGATGAGAACCAGAGTCCAAGTTCTTTGCCACTGTTACACTGCCTCTTTTTTTTTTTTTTTAAGATTTTATTTTTAAGAATCTCTGCACTCGGGGCGCCTGGCTGGCTCAGTCGATTGGG